AGGGTATTATACAAAAAATAAATCACCAGAATGCAAATGTGTGAATGGGCTCTAAAAATTGTGCTTGGCTTTTCCCTCCTTCCTGGCCTTCTTATTGGTCGATGGAGTTGCCCATCACAAGTTAAAAGGAGAACTACGGGGTTAGGGCTTTTCCCCATAGTTCTCCTGAGGGTCACGGGAGAACACAAACTAGCATCCTCCCGTCACCCTAAGCTCAGTATACTGCGAGCTACAGCTCACGGTATACTGAGACGCAGCAGCCGGAAAAGATCGACAATTCTGTCTGGATCCACCTAGCTGCGTGAGTGACAGCTGGCTCTGCCTATCTAGAGGCAGAGCCAGCTGTACCCGCCCCCTACCCCGTCCGTTCCGCCAGTCAGCGCTGGAGGATCGGACAAAGGGAGGGGGCGGGAAATCCATGCAGGGAGCCGTGACAGTCACGTCTCTCTGCACGGATAGAGAAGTGAGCGAGCGTCGGTATGCGTTCGCTCACTTCCCGATCTACTGAGCCGACCTGTGACAGTTTAATTGTCACAGGTTGGCTCAGATTATGAGGCTGAGTGAAAATCACTCGCCTCATAATTCTCCTTTAAGTCAAATACAGAGGTTTTGGAGGGGGTCAGTGCCCATAATCAATTACAGGAAAAGTTAGGCCTGCATACAACTTCAGGCCTATTCACAATATGGCATGATACTAAATGCACAGGATCTGTAAACAGCTAAATACATAACTGAAATACAAATACTGAACTATTTTACCTGCCATAAAAAGTGTAATTGTGCTAAAGCCCATCTCTGAGCAAATCAAAAAACCTTCCTTTGCAGTGGAGCTTCCCCCTAACTTGCAAGAGTTCACTGCTCATTTATGTCTGGGGACAGGAGTACAGCACTTATACTTACCTTATCCACGCACTGGCACTCTTTCCCCCTTTGCTGGAGTGGTTTCAGGCCTGCTGACATCATCGTGTCTAAAGGTGGCCATACACTGTACAACCATCGCAAGACCTCAGTCTTGCGATGGTTGTAAAGTGATTTAAAAAAACGTACGATCTGCCCATCTTGGACAGGCAGATCGCACTCTCGATCATCGCAAGCCCGCCCCCCTGAGGGGTGGGCTTCCGATGAGCGCAATGCTGAACGGGCAGTGTGCACGTTCGGCATTTGTCTCACGAGCACTGTTCAAACCAGCCGAAAATCGTACGATTCTCGGCTGGTTTTCTAACATGCTCCTTAGACAAAAGACGTGCGACCGTACAGTAGAAACAGTCGCACGTCTTCGTTCACACTGTTCGATTCTCGTACGATCGCGGGATTTACCGCAATTCGTACGAGAATCGAGCAGTGTATGGGCACCTTAATGCAGGGCTCATAGCCCTGCATTAAATGTGAGGAAACCTAGGGACAGTCAAGAGTGGAAGGGGAAGAGATGAACACTAAATGCCGGTGGAGCGTGGATCAGGTAAGAAAAGCTGCTTTAAAGAAGCCCCTAGACATAAACAAGCAGGGGGGGGGGGGGTTTGTTTGCCCAGAAATAGACTTTAGGCCAGTCTTGTGATTGACAAACCTAGCCAGGAAGTTGATTGCAATGTGTCCTGATTTAGCCTATCATAGCAACAACATACTCTGGACAGAGGTTATGACAATGTTTAACTTTCCAAGGAGCAGGGTGAGGGTGGACAGCTCATGCAGGGAACTGAAAAGCTCAACCAGGATTTAGTGGCTTTGCCTGGCTGTGCGGCAGGGTGTGTGAATCGCATAATACACAACTACAAATCCTTTAGAAGGTGTAATTGAATAGTGGATTTAACACTCTGCCTGGAGATCAACTTGGAAACATGGAGGCCGTCACTGCTACTTTTCATTCTGTGATTCTAATTGTTGGCTGTCATGTATACCCTTCTGCTTCAATACTTTGAATCACTGACCTGGAATACAAAAGGGTGAATGGTTTGGAGAAGGCAGGAGAAGTGAACAATCTAGGCCAAAAAAGAAAAATTCTCCAATTCAGCTCACTTTCCAGTTCAGTTATGTTGTCCTAGATTGTTCACTTCTCCTGCCTTCTCCAAACTCTTCACCCTTTTGTGAATAACCCCGTGTGTCTCAAAGTGCAGACATAAAGAAATGGGCGTCAAACCAAAAGGCGAAATCCAGTCCATGATACTTTTAACTGTTTTCAATTCAATCACATAAAAACAACCAATGCTTTTCGGGGGTAACACTGCCCCCCCCCTACCGCCCCCCCTTCATCACGGCTTAGAAATATAGAATGGGGACTTGAGTGGATCTCACTTCAGTCTGATTTAAACTCACTTTTCGTACTGCAAATTTGCACTGCGATCAGACAATATTTGTAGCTGAATTGCAGATTAAAACTATCATGGACTCGTTCACCTTTTGCTTTGGCTGCCATTCTTCATGTTTAATCTCTTCTGGGTACCCATGGAGGGAGGCCGGTTTGTTTAGGAGCTGCCTTACCAGAGCCAGGAAGCTTGTTTGAAAACGACTTAATGTTTTATTGTTTGACTGAGTATTGGAAGATCACTTTCTCGCAAATTGTAAAACCATTAACATGAACCTACAGCACCCCGTCACCTCCCCTCACCCCCAATGCACCGACACGTCCCAAGTTCCCGCCAGCCAGTGTAGCCATCTATGAAAAGATCATAACACTTGCAAATGGCGAGCACTCATTGGTCAGCAAAGTCACATGACCATGCTGACCAATGAGAAGGCCTTATAAACTGATCAGAGAATTAGTCACCAGCACACCGTTCAGTCTTCATTCAACATCAGACAAAGATGGCATCACATACAAATGCAACATTTTGGAATTGTAAATGGTCCCTTCAAGAAGGGGTCACTCTGGTTTGCCTGATGAAGGGACCATTTAAGGTTCCGAAACATTGTTTTTGTATTTGATGCCATGTTTTTCTGATGTTGAATAAAGATGGAACAATAACCCGCCTGGGTGCTGGTGACTATTTGTCTTCTATTTTGATTCACGCTGGGTCATCCATTTGTCATTTCATCACCCACTGGGACATATTTACCAGGATTCCATTCTGGAGTGAAATGAGACATTCTAAATTTTGGCCTTATAAACTGGGAACCAAGTCCCAGAAGTAAGAAGCGCTTCTCATTGGTCAACATGGTCAGGTGACGGTTCTGAGCAATGAGCGATCATTATTTGTGAGCATTCCATAGTGCGGGACTGGGAAGTCCGGGATACATGCAGGGCCGGAGCCCTAGGCAAGACCAGCTACTTGCACCCCTGCCCCACCTGCCGTGGCATAATTCCAAATCCCCCCTCCTGGGTGGCCCCATTCTCCTGCCAGCTAGCTTCCGCAGGTGACTAGGGGATGTAAGCAGCTGGGAGCAATAGACAGACTGCTATTGGCTATCTTAATTGGAAATAGCCAATAGCAGACTAGCTAGTAAAACCCTAACCACAGAGCAGAGGAGCAGACCTGTGGCAGCACCGGCCCTGGGTACACTAGCTGACAGGAACTTCAGGCATGTAGGTGCAGTGGAGGACCGAAGGAGGTGGTGGGGTGCATTCATTTTTTTCACAATTTGTGATAAAGTGAGCTTATCCTTTAAACTAGCCACACATGGATTGAATTTTAGCTGTTTCCAACCAAATCGTCTGAAATTCTATCCATGGGTGGCCAGCACCACCCGGCTTGACAAAAGTTGATGTTTCCATCAAATTTTGTCAAAAGAAGAAGGGTAACAAATTCCCGCCCACCGCCCTTACCACAATATGCTCACTGAACAGCTAATCTGCATGGACGCCAGTGTTCCTACCTAGTTTATTTTTAAGTTGTAGACAAAGTGATATTAAAGTCAAAAGGTTTTTTAAGCTTTATCAAATGCTGGATTAATCAGTTTTCAATGGATGCTGTTTCTTGATATTTAAAGGTTTCAGTTTCCTGTAGAATCAGCTGGTCTGCTGAGCACTGGTCCTGATATCCTGTTTTAGGGTGGCTCCTTTCCCCTGCAGGGTCCTATGGGGCCACCCTTGTGTGTGCTAGTGTCTCCACAACCACAAATGCAAAGCAAGTGTAGACACTTCACTACTCCTCCATCCTCCCAGTTAGTAGATGGATAGTTGCTAGGCACTGTGCTGTCACTTGTGATCTTGTACTGGACAGGAGGTTCAGGGAAGCTGAACTGAGAGAGTTGGAGCTGCTGTTTTTAAACATGATGACTGCTAAGTGCGTGGATAAATCTCTAAACAAATACTTTGCTGGGTAATGTATATTGGTTTGATCTTGTCTTATTACTGAACAAAGGATCAAGAGTTTAATGCTTCTTTTAATCCTGGGGATACCCAGGCAAACATGAGAGGAACATACAACGTCTCTGCAGACAAGGAACAAAACCCCGTACCCCCACAGCTGCAGTTCTTCTTCTGCGGTCCTACATATTGAAGAAGCTGGGCCGATTTGTTATTTGTGCAGCCAATGTTACCAATGAAACCATTGCTTACAGCAATTACGCAGTTCACGACGCAACTAACCGAGACATTCCGACACTGCACTACAGAGATCTTGGGGCACAGCACTACAGAGATCTTGGGGCACAGCACTACAGAGATCTTGGGGCACAGCACTACAGAGATCTTGGGGCACAGCATCCAGGGTGATCGGACCCCCCATCCTGCTACCAGATGACCTTTAATTTGGCTGCCACACACCATGGGAACATCCCTGACCCCCTTCTATAGCCACATTTGACAATGACTGGGAAACCTGACACCATGGTCAACAAACAGCAAACAAACCAGTGTGGGGACTATGTACTCCAACCTGCAATCATGTCACCCTGTCCCCCTTCATCCTGGAACAGGTCTGCCAGTCCCACATCACAGTCCATGGGCCCCTGATGAGTATGATTATGACTGGTGCAGTGCTGGGGGAGCCCATCCATCAAATAATAATGAGGAGGGGAGCTGTCAGGCTCAGGGATGTCGCAGGGAAGCCCCCGGAATTTCTTACCGTAAAAGGGATGTCATTGACGCTGCCCACCGAGTAGCAGTTGTCCCCCGGGTTGACGGCTCCGGTCAGCACCTGGTGCAGATGCATGGTGAGAAGGACTGGACGGTGACGGATCACTTATGGTGTCTCCTCTCCTCCATGGAACGAGGGCCTCTTGTGTCCCGAAGCCGGGCCTTATCGTCCCGCATTATTATTTGGGGGGTCCTCCAGAGGTGTACGGCCGGCGGCCTAGCTTCTCCATGACCCTCGCCGACCGGGAGTCTCTCTATCCCTCTCTCCGTCCCCTGGCGGTGGCGGCCGGTGTGCGGAATAGGTGAGAAGGGGATTCCGGAGGATGGGCAGGGAGAATGCGCGGCGGCATGCGCGTTCACAGTGGTGTGTCGCGGGCACGCGCGCCTGCGCTAACAGGAGCCCGCCCCGGTAGCTCTGTCACCTTCTGTCTCCTCTCCCCCTGCTGCTGCTCCGAGGTATCCCCACGGCAGCCGCCCACACACCCTGCGTCACCGCAACTCCATCCTACGGGGCTCAGATTGAGCAATGGGGCCACTACTGTGTCACCCGAAATGCAGAGGGGTCACCAGACTGTATAGCCCTGTCACTCTGCATGAACCAGAAATCTCACTCATATTCCCACAGACCTTACATATGACCTTTTCCCTGCATGACGGATAAATCTAATTTCCCTACATGATGGATAAGTCTCCCCTATATTCCTCTGACATGGCTCTCTTCCCTGTATGATGGATAAATCTCCCCTATATTCCTCTGACATGGCCCCCTTCCCTGTATGATGGATAAATATCCCCCATATTCCTCTGACATGGCCCCCTTCCCTGTATGATGAATAAATCTCCCCTATATTCCTCTGGCATGGCTCCCTTCCCTGTATGATGGATAAATCTCCCCTATATTCCACTCACATGTCTCCCTTTCCCTACACGATGGATAAATCTCCCCTATATTCCACTCACATGCCTCCCCCCTGTATGATGGATAAATCTCCCCTATATTCCTCTGACATGGCCCCCTTCCCTGTATGATGAAATGATCTCCCCTATATTCCTCTGACATGCCCCCCTTCCCTGTATGATGGATAAATCTCCCCTATATTCCTCTGACATGTCCCCCTTTCCCTGTATGATGGATACATCTCCCCTATATTCCACTCACATGTCCCCCTTTCCCTACATGATGGATAAATCTCCCCTATAATCCTCTGACATGGCTCTCTTCCCTGTATGATGGATAAATCTCCCCTATATTCCTCTGACATGTCCCCCTTTCCCTGTATGATGGATACATCTCCCCTATATTCCACTCACATGTCCCCCTTTCCCTACATGATGGATAAATCTCCCCTATAATCCTCTGACATGGCTCTCTTCCCTGTATGATGGATAAATCTCCCCTATATTCCTCTGACATGTCCCCCTTTCCCTGTATGATGGATACATCTCCCCTATATTCCACTCACATGTCCCATCTCCCCTATATTCCTCTGACATGGCCCCCTTCCCTGTATGATGGATAAATATCCCCCATATTCCTCTGACATGGCCCCCTTCCCTGTATGATGAATAAATCTCCCCTATATTCCTCTGGCATGGCTCCCTTCCCTGTATGATGGATAAATCTCCCCTATATTCCACTCACATGTCTCCCTTTCCCTACACGATGGATAAATCTCCCCTATATTCCACTCACATGCCTCCCCCCTGTATGATGGATAAATCTCCCCTATATTCCTCTGACATGGCCCCCTTCCCTGTATGATGAAATGATCTCCCCTATATTCCTCTGACATGCCCCCCTTCCCTGTATGATGGATAAATCTCCCCTATATTCCTCTGACATGTCCCCCTTTCCCTGTATGATGGATACATCTCCCCTATATTCCACTCACATGTCCCCCTTTCCCTACATGCTGGATAAATCTCCCCTATAATCCTCTGACATGGCTCTCTTCCCTGTATGATGGATAAATCTCCCCTATATTCCTCTGACATGTCCCCCTTTCCCTGTATGATGGATACATCTCCCCTATATTCCACTCACATGTCCCCCTTTCCCTACATGATGGATAAATCTCCCCTATAATCCTCTGATATGGCTCTCTTCCCTGTATGATTGATAAATCCCCCCTATAATCCTCTGACATGGCCCCCTTCCCTGTATGATGGATACATCTCCCCTTTATTCCACTTACGTGTCTCCCTTTGCCTACACGATGGATACATCTCCCCTATATTCCTCTGACGTGGCTCCCTTCCCTGTATGATGGATAGATATCCCCTATATTCCTCTGGCATGTCTCCCTTCCCTGTATGATGGATAAATCTCCCCTATATTCTACTCACATGTCCCCCTTTCCCTACATGATGGATACATCCCCCCATTATTCCTCTGACATGGCTCCCTTCCCTGTATGATGGATAAATCTCCCCTATATTCTACTCACATGTCCCCCTTTCCCTACATGATGGATACATCCCCCCATTATTCCTCTGACATGGCTCTCTTCCCTGTATGATGGATAAATCACCCCTATATTCCACTCACATGTCCCCCTTTTTCCTACATGATGGATACATCTCCCTAATATTCCTCTGACATGGCCCCCTTTCCCTACATGATGGATACATCTCCCCTATATTCCTCTGACATGGCCCCCTTTCCCTACATGATGGATAAATCTCCCCTAGTTTCCTCTGACATGGCTCCCTTCCCTGTATGATGGATAAATCTCCCCTATATTCCACTCACATCCCCCCCCTGTATGATGGATAAATCTCCCCTATATTCCTCTGACATGTCCCCCTTTCCCTACATGATTGATAAATCTCCCTTATAATCCTCTGACAGGGCTCCCTTCCCTGTATGATGGGTAAATCTCCCTTATATTCCTCTGACATGGCTCCCTTCCCTGTATGATGGATAAACCTCCCATATATTGCACTCACATGCCCCCCCCCCCTGTATGATGGGTAAATCTCCCCTATATTCCTCTGACATGGCTCCCTTCCTTGTATGATGAATAAGTCTCCCCTATATTCCACTCACATGTCCCCCTTTCCCTACATGATGGATACATCTCCCCTATATTCCTCTGACATGGCTCCCTTCCCTGTATGATGGATAAATCTCCCCTATATTCCTCTGACATGGCCCCCTTCCCTGTATGGATAAATCTCCCCCATATTCCTCTGACATGGCCCCCTTCCCTGCATGATGAATAAATCTCCCCTATATTCCTCTAGCAAGGCTCCCTTCCCTGTATGATGGATAAATCTCCCCTATATTCCACTCACATGTCTCCCTTTCCCCACACGATGGATAAATCTCCCCTATATTCCACTGACATGTCTCCCTTTCCCCACACGATGGATAAATCTCCCCCATATTCCTCTGACATGGCCCCCTTCCCTGTATGATGAATAAATCTCCCCTATATTCCTCTAGCAAGGCTCCCTTCCCTGTATGATGGATAAATCTCCCCTATATTCCTCTGACATGTCCCCCTTTCCCTACATGATTCATAAATCTCCCCTATAATCCTCTGACATGGCTCCCTTCCTGGTATGATGAATAAGGCTCACCAGGGCTTGGCGAACAAATTGCCTGGGAGCTAAGTGGCGTAAAAAATTTGGATTTGAACTGTTTGGGATATATTGAGTGCTTGATTTTTTGAAATACTTGTTGTCTCCCTTCCTTTTTAGACCCTTTTTTAGTATTTAAAAACTCTTTTTCCTTTTCTGTCAGTTTTTTTAAACTGTTCCCTTTTTTTTTTCCCCTCAGGTTGCAGTGCTCTTGTTAGGGGGAGGGGTTAATTGAGCTCAGGTGTCTCTCATTGAGATCACATGTCTACCTTTCCCTACATGATGGATAAATCTCCCCTATATTCCTCTGACATGGCTTCCTTCCCTTTATGATGGATAAATACCCCCTATATTCCACTCACATGTCCCCCTTCCCTATATAATGGATACATCTCCCTTCATATTCATCTGATATGGCTCCTTGGATAATTCTCATTCATATTTCTCTGGCATGGCCCCATTCTCTGTATGATGGATACATCTCCCCTATATTCCACTCACATGTCCCCCTTTCCCTACATGATTGATAAATCTCCCCTATATTCCTCTGACATTGCTCCCTTCCTTGTATGATGAATAAGTCTCCCCTATATTCCACTCACTTGTCCCCCTTTCCCTACATGATGGATAAATCTCCCCTATAATCCTCTGACATGGCTCCCTTCCTTGTATGATAAATAAATCTCCCCTATATTCCACTCACGTGTCTCCCTTTCCCTACACGATGGATAAATCTCCCCTGTATTCCTCTGACATGGCTCCCTTCCCTGTATGATGAATATATCTCCCCTATATTCCTCTGACATGGCTCTCTTCTTTGTATGATAAATAAATCTCCCCTGTATTCCTCAGACATGGCTCTCTTCTTTGTATGATAAATAAATCTCCCCTGTATTCCTCAGACATGGCTCTCTTCCCTGTATGATAAATAAATCTCCCCTGTATTCCTCAGACATGGCTCCCTGCCTTATAAGATGGATTCATCTCCCCTCATATTCATCTGATATGGCTCCTTTCCCTGTATGATGAATTATACTTGTTTGTATTTCTCTGACATGGCCCCCTTTCCCTGTATGATGCATAAATATTCCTCCGACACAGCTCAGTTCCTTGTAAGATCGATAAATCTCCCAAAAGAAGCACCGGCACCTTTCCAAAAATCGCACTGCACCATGCTGCATTGATGTGAACAAGCACCATTAATAATAATGTCATTTCTATTGTCGTACATTGCAGTGCGTTGTCAGACGCAGTACAAATTGCATTATTGTGAATGGGGCCTTACATGTGAAAATGACATAGTACTAATCTTGCAAGTATTAACACTGGATATAATTCTCTGTCTTTGTTTTTTGCATACAAGGCCTTTTGTAAATGGACGCCCGTGGCTGTACATGTGTTAATGTAAGGCCAGAGTATACCCACGTTTGCCCATTGACTTCCATGGAAGGGTGTACATAGCACCTGTGGTGAATGTGGTAAAGAAGGTGGGAAGGAGCAATAGATAAAGTAGTGAAGAATAGCGAACGTTCACTTTAAGTTACCTATACACATTTAGATTTCTCTCGTTCATCCCCCCTTTAAGCTGAATAGCGAGGATGGAGACATTTCTCCTGTTGG